TTAATAAAATATAAAATACAAATAAGAATTTCAAATAATAACTTATTTTTACAAGCTAAAAATTAAATTATACGGAAAGTATAAATATTAATATAAATTTTTAAAATATTTAAAAAATATACATACAAAATCGACTGCAGTGATTGATACATTGATACAGTAATACTGATGTTACTAATACACGATGTTATTAATACACGATATCACAGTGCACTGATTCTAATAATAGCATAGCGACGGCATTTTACTGCTGCTTATAGCGTTCTACTCTGTTAAAAATCGATAGAAAACAATAAAAACGATATAATTGTTTTTAACCGTAGTTATGAACCATAAAAAATTTTATCATATATAAACAATTCATTAGGATAACGTTTTAATTATGATAAATTTTATTAAAACAATATAAAACAATAAGTTACTGTAGAAATTCTATCAATATTTCAATGATTAAAATTGTTTTTATCAGATAATAATAGAAAACGATAGGAAACGATAACATTTCTTTCGGAATAGAGAAAGTGGAACGATAAATACGATAGGACATGATGAAATATTTGACAGATTCTATCAGTTCTTATCGACTTATTTTTTTTAACAGGGTAACTACTCAAACAAAAATATTTCTGTGATTATGCGTAAACAGACTGTTTCCGCAATAGATATGTTTATACCGAGTTAATTTGACACTTATATGACATTCCAACTTTGTTTCACAAGCTTTATCTAACTGTGCGCGATAAAAATGATTCATAGTTATACATCCGCAGAGTATTGCGGAAATAGATTTGTTTTCATCGTTATCCCCTGTTAAATGCAAAAATGCGAGCAGAACGTGCTGCGTGAAAAATTGCTGAGTGCGCGCAACGTAATTAAACGAGCACGGATAGTGTATGTATAGAGGCGTTTATAATTATTTCTCGAAAATGGTACTTCGGAAAATAATTTTATTGCACATAGTTGAATTCGTCTTAAAATAACCTTTAATTTGGTTAAAAAAAATTTTTTAAATTAAAAAAAATTAGTGGTGGTGGGGGTAAACAAAAGATTAAGCAAGAAAAAAATTATTTTTAATTATAATTATAAAGTACTCTTAAAGTCATTCAACTTTTATTCAGAACATTTTTTTCTAAGGGATGTTTTACCCCTTAAAAGCACAAATTGGCACAAATATGAGGTAGCTTAATTCTTGGTTTGATCTGGAGAATAACATATTAAATGCTCATCAAAATCGAAGGCGACATTTGGGTCCCTTTCCTTGTAAGTTAAGTTAAAGTTAACAGTCTAAAAATTTAACTTAGTTAAGATACAAGTTAATCCATAATAAAATTAATTAAGTTAAAAGTTAAGTTAAAAAAAAGTAATTAAAAAGTTAAAGTTAAATTTTTTATTTTATAATTTTAGAGTTTCTAAATAAAGTTTCTAAATAAAGTATATATTTGTTATATTTATTTCTGTCTGCCGCGGAAAGAGGATCAATTTCAAAAGACTTGTTCCAATGTGATTTAATGCACAGAAAGTCCGCGAACAGTGATTCCTACCCGCGGCCAAACTATATTTATCATATTATTATAATTGCTTTGATGTGTGTTCTCAAATTTGAGTTTGAAGACACTAACTTAGACATGTATTTTACTTTGGGTTTACAAAAAGCACTAAAAATGTGTATTAGTAACTTCAAGAAAGTTAGATCAAAAGTTAATAGTTACCGATAAAATGTAACTAAATTAAGTTAAAAGTTAAGAGCCTAAAAAATGTAATTAAGTTAAGTTAAAATTATTTAACTTTTTAACTAAATTTTATCTTTTTAACTAGGCACTACCCAACCCTGCATTTCTCGCAATAAGAACTATCTAACACATTCTCAGACCGCGTAAACTTAAATAACTTCCCCTAACGCATTATAGGCCAGAAATTTTAATAAATGACTTTTTAAATAAATAACTTTTTAATAAATAACTAAATGAATTACCAGCTTGTATTGTAAACAATAGTCAGAATAAGAGGCCAAAGACGAGCAAAATATACCCGGGAATAAACTTCCATATATAATTATGTATAATTATATGCAAAATATGTCCATATATGTTTCTTTTCTTTGTAAAATTATTCTTTAATACAAAATTGATAATAATGAGAAGGAAACATAAAAAATAATAAAAA